AAAAAAAAAAAAAAAAAAAAAAAAAAAAGTCAAAGAAAAATAAAAATAATAATAAAAAGGAATCTTATCTCAAAAACCAAAATTCCATTGGGGGCACAACTTAAAATAAGGAGTAGCTTATAAGGGCAAGGTGATACACACCTTTAGTCCTAGCTCTCAGGAAGCAGAGGCAGCCTGCTTTACACACTGAGTTCCAGGATAGCCAGGGCTACGTAGAAGAACTTGTCTCAAAAAAGGAAAAAAAAAAAAAAAAAAGGGCTGGAGAGATGGCTCAGAGGTTAAGAGCACTAGCTGTTCTTCCAGAGGTTCTGAGTTCAATTCCCAGCAACCACATGGTGGCTCACAACCATCTGTAATGAGATCTGGTGCCCTCTTCTGGCATGTAAGCATACATGGAAGAAATGTTGTATACATAATAAATAAAGAAAACAAATAGTACGGGTTTAAGGGTTGGTCTATAACTGAGTAGTAGAGCAGTTCCTAGGATGCAGCGGTTTAATCCTCAATACTGAAAGAAAAAAAGGGGGGGTATGTTGGGGCTGCTGTTCCTAAGACCCCATCCTTCCACACTGCTGCTTTATTCTTGTGTCTCTTTACAGAACTCAGGTGGGAGGTTTGTCCCCCAGTTTGCCAAACCAAAGAAGACAACAAGAAGAAAAGCCAAGGCGTGGAAAGAGGTTCCAGAAAGCTGCACAGGAAGCCCGGTAAGAGCCTCCCTTCCCTTAGTTGGCTGCTCCTGCTGATTAACCGTGGTCTTCCTTGATGCTGCCCTGACTTGGCAGTCACACTCAGGCTCCTGGTATGCACTGTGTGCTAAGCCTGACCCCAGCTTCTTTGTAATGGTGTTTTTATTACCTGTGTGCATATGTATGTATAGGAGTGTGAGTGTTCATGAGCCACAGTGTGAATGTGAGAATAAGAAGTCAACTTTGTAAAGTTTGTTTACTCCACCATGCCGTGACAGAAAGTGCCACTCTACCCACTGGGCCTTCTCACTGGCTCTGGTGTATCTTATTTAAGTTGATAAGAGGCTGGTGTGATGGATCAGCAGGCCAAGTCACTTGTCACCAGATCTGACAACCTTAGGACCCTCGTAGAGGAAGCAGAGTGAACAGACTTCCACAAGTCGTCCTCTGGTCTCCATTTGTACATTGTGGCAAGTGTGTGCATACACACATATAATGTAATAAGCTGATGTGTCTGGAAGCAGAGCCTTTAAACCCTTCATTAATTCTCTGGGGGTGAGGGTAGAACTCAGAGCCTTGTGTAACTAGGCAAGTGCTTGCTGTACCTAGTGGTGGGTCCAACCATCTGATCCTGAGGACAGGGCTTGTATCAACTAGAGAATTCTTCGGAGTGCTTGATTATCTGAGGCGGGGACTGAGTCTTCTTATTTCCACAGGAAACACGGCCAGAGCTGGGTACCCTCCAGGCAGGAAGCCAGCCAAAGGAGGAGTCCCCGAGGTTCCCTCTCCACGATGCCCAGAGGCCAGAAGACCAGACATGGGCAGATGGTGCCTGCCCAGAGGAGAGGACCATCTCACCAGATGCTGGAAGCCTAGGGAACAATGACTTTGAGATGCAGAGGGCCAGGGTTCAAGACAGTACTAGCCAGGAAAGGCACCTGTCAGATGGTGATGCCAAAGGGAGAGAGGCAGATGGCAGAGCCCCACAGGAAGGAGGTGCCCAAGGAGGGGAACCCCAGGAAGAAGGCATCCTCTACATTTCAGCACCAGCTCCTGCCTCATACCCCATTGTACCTGTCCCCACACACATACTCAGCAGCACAGATGCAGCACCAAGCTGCAGCAGCCCAGCAGATGCCTCTCTTACGGACAATGTCATCACAGCTGTGAGCTTAGATCCCTCTGTGCTGCAACAGAGGGCTCCAGAGGTGGCTGGGCTGCCAGGCTCTCCAGATGGACAGACCCCTGGTGGAGACTGCACTGGGACTCTGCTGGGCTACACACCTCTTGCTGAGGAGACCACAGCAGGCAGAGAGGAGGTCAGGCTGGAAGAGGGGTCCCCTGGTGACATCCTGGCAAGCCTCAGTGAGACTGCAGTTCCCGAGAAAGAAGAGCCCATGGTGGATGCTGGAGATCCAGGCCATATGGAACAGGAAATGGGTCCTGCTGTCAAGACCAAGGACCCTGACTCTGATGGACAGTTGCCAGGAGGGATGGGAATGCTGCCTTTACAGGCCCAGCCCTTGAACCAAAAGGTAGTGGAGTCAAGCAGCCTAAACTGTCACCAAGACTTTGAGGGCCTCAGCTTGTCCCCTCATACCTCCTCTCAGCTAGAGCATAGCTATGCAGCTAGTGACCCTCCCCAGAGGAAGGCCTGTCATAGCAGTCCAGGAATTCCCATAGACCTGGCAGGACAGCAGCCATCAGTTCCCAGTTCTAGAGATCAGGCTGCATGGCAGGAGTCCTCAGCAATGGAACTAGACTTCCTGCCCGACAGCCAGATACAAGATGCCCTGGATGCCCCCAATGTGGAGGCCCTGCCTGAGCAGGTAAGAGCCTTCCTGTGCTCAACACACACACAAACACACCCTACACCCTGGTCAGTGAGGTTCGAAGGCAAGATGGGGCTTATGTATCTGATACTTCATTTATGCAGCATAGGCATATGGAGGTGGAGGACACACAGCAGCCTTGAGCACTGTGGAGTCAGGTTTTCCTGAGAGGCAGACCTGCTGGCTGTCCTTGTGGGCCTGACTTATGTGACTGGGACCTCCCTGCTGTAACTAGAGCCCTCGGCTGTGCTACCCATGCCCAGCATCTGCTCCTGGCTGGCAAGGGGACGTGGGAAACCACTACGAGTCACACTCCTGAACTGGAAAGAGCCCTTGCTCCCTTGAGATTGCTGGGAATCTTGGGTATCTTGACAAGATTTTCCTGCAGACACGTAAGAAATCGTGCTTTGTATTATTGTTCCTAAGGGTCTTGTCCACTCACAGCTGTTCAGAAACAGCCTTCTGTGCCTCTGAGCCAAGGCCAGCCATTCAAGGTCACTTGTCAACCCTTCTTCTTGGGGGGAAAAAACAGCCCTACTCTCTGGACCTGACAAACAGTTGTTTGCCACACCCTGAGACTAGGCAGGGTGTGGTACAGAGGCTGAGGGAGGCCAGGCACCAGCTGGGAGTGGAGAAGCCTGTGGTGTGTGTGGTCTGCTGGAGTCTAAAGCTGCTTGGTGGTGTCCAGTAGACTATGCAAGTATCCTCCCAAAGAGCCACAACCTCCTGTTGAGATATTTAGCTAGTCCATGTTGACACTTTGAGAGAAACTTTTCATCAGACATAATCCCACAATGCAAGCAAAGAACTGTACCTAGTGCTCAATGCAAGAAACAGGCAGCCATGCTTCAAGGCTGAGTTCCATCCTAGTACCAAAGGGATGGAGAGAGAGCCTGCCCTCCATCCTTGTTGGGGAACTTGTTGGGCTATACTTCTCAGGACACTGGGCCTGTGGTGTACGCCAATGTGACTTGTCTTAGTACTGTGAGAAGCCAGGGTTCCACCCCACTTCTGTAAAGAAAATCTATCAGGACCAAAGGAATCTGGCATTCAGCTTGCATCAGACAACAAACAGCGCCAGCCTAGGACACCGGGTATTTCTGAACAAGTCAGGGTGACCCAGGCACTGAGCATGCTCTCACTAGAAGGCCATCAGCAGCCCAGCTCAGCTGGAGGGCAGAGGCTCTATCTCCCAACATAGGGACACCTAGGACCAGGAAAGGGTCTCCTGCTGGCCTCGCAGCCATTCCCACAGAGGGCATGACTGTAGGTCACTCTGCAGTGACAGTCTCAGCCTTGCACAGTGCTCTCCTGCCAGAGATGCGGTGGCTTTTCCTCACAGCTCCAGTGTTGGTCTGAAGCTGGCAAGGTGGCATGGCTGAACGGCATGTGTGGGGCCTTGGGCTCCATCCCTAATACTTCAGGAAAACAGATCTTTTCATCCCTCCTAGAGTTTGGGCATCGGCTGGACATATTTGGATGAGGCTTTCAGGGCTTCAAGTACCATAGCCCCTTTTTTCAAAGGCAACACCCCCACAGGCATGCTAGAAGTGTGGCCCCTTTTAGAGGGAGACTTCCCCACAGTTGAGCAGTGCAGTAGAATGGGCAAATGTGAACATCCAATTTCATTTCATTTTAAATGGTTTGGCAGGTTGCCCTGGCTGGGCTCAAATGACCTTCCCAGGTCTGTAACGCCAGTCCAGCACTGTCTTCTGATGAATTCCCATGCCAGCCTGTTCCAGTCTTTTCCATATAGGACTCTCATGCTTGAGGCAGGTAACAGCACCTCCTTTCTGTGGTTGCCACTTGGGTTCCAAGACTGTGTCTCTGCAGGCCATGTTGACCTTAGACCTCCAGAGTTACATGTGCCCAGCTCCAGGGTCTTTTTTTTTTTTTTTTTTTTTGAAAGGAGGCAGAATCTCAGTCTCACAGTAACCACACTCGCACAGGGTAGCCTGGAACCCAGCAGGCTGGCCCCAAACTCACAAGCACCAATCTTGCCCTCACCCCTAAGTTTCTAGGATTACAAGTGTGTACCACCATGCCTGGCCATGGTTTTTTTTTTTTTTTTTTTCAAGACAATTCTCACTATGTAGCTGTGGCTGTCCTGGAACTCGCTTTGTAGACCAGGCTGGCATTGAATTCACAAAGATCTGCTCGCCTCTGCCCCCCCCCAACCGAGTACAGGGGTTAAAGATGTGTGCCACTACACCCAGCTTTGCTCCAGGATCTCTGAGATACCTTGGGACATGTCCACAGGGACTGGGGTAACACTCATCAGTGTATCACGAGATGTATGGCAGCCTGTTGCAGGAACAAGGAAGGAGGGCAGAGCAGCTGTCTGGAGCTCCTCCTGGGCATCACGCTTCCTCAGGAGCTCAGCTAAAGGGAAGTCTTAGGTCTCCCTCTGCCAGCTTGGGTGATTCACACACTGTCCCTGCTCCTTCCAGGGTTCTCCTGCAGGGAATGTGCCAGGCCTTGGCTGGCCTGTCTCTAGCCCAGATGCCATCGGAGGATCCCCAAAGGTAGTGACCAAAGCTCATCCCAGGTAGGCTTCCCAGTCTTTAATCCAGAATGACAGCTGGGCCTGCTGTCTATCCTCTCTCCCCCTCCCTCCCTCCCTCCCTCCCTCCCTCCCTCCCC